GGACCTCCTCTCCTAGACTAGAAAGTTAATCCCTCCCTTCCTTGCTATAAAACGTCTACCTTTACATTTCCAACCTTCACAATTATTCTGAAGTGCTTTTTTTGATGATGAATGCAATACTTTTCCTCTTGAATTGCCACTCCCAGCAGAGTAAATAATATGATTATAGGATTCATAATGGCCAATCCCAGTCAAGGGTCACTAATGTCTAGGTATCGGTCTTTATGTATTTCATTTCATTTTGATGACTTCCGATTTTCCAAGATTCATTCTCCATACATCCAATGCTTTAATTATTAATGGTTGTTTACAGCTGTTTCTTCTCATTTTGAGTCATGTCTCAACAGCAAATGAAGGTCCCAAAGACTTCACTTTGAGGAGGCAGCACTTTTCCAGTTGTATTTTGAGAGCCTTCCAGTCTGAGAGGTTCATCTTCTGGTACTATATTAGACAATACTCCATTGCTATTCATTCAGTTTTTAATGGCTCATCCCTCAGAAAGCTGACTGCCTAGTCTACCTGAGTCTGGAAGCTCTGTTGAAACCTGGCCACCATGTTATCTGTTATATACTACAAAGTCTATAATGACTATTTAGCTAATGCTTACTATTGTTATCAAGGTGTAATATCACAGCTTTCCCTTCAATTAAATTTTCTTTCTGTGAAATATAATCCTTTATTAGGTCAAAGAAAGTGTAAAACTGTGCATGCTTTCTGCAGCATTTTTTTCTTCTTGTAATAGTTAGATATACCATACTATTTGGACACCCAATTGAAGCAGGATAAAAAGTTAAGTCAACCACCCAAAAGATATATTACTTTGAAAATTATTTGTCTGAGTGAAAAAAAAAAAAGTTGAATATATACTTCTACAATATGTATCAAACAATAATTATCAGCAACTGACATAAGAAAATTCCCCCAATTTTGTTTATCTGCTTAATTATCCCAATATTTTCTATCTAATTGTGACATAGCAAATGAGAAGGTGTGAAAACTTTTAACCCAAGGGAGATGAAGAACATCCTAATTAGATTTTACTTGTGTCTTCTCAGGGGTGGATTATTGTTGGATTCATTTGATTGGAAATCTTGTAAACAGATATGAATTTAGGAACAAATTTCTAATTTCATATTGTTGCTACATCCCTTAAGTCTATACAGTGGCATTTCTATGATACAACCTTAAAAACAGAAGAATCTAAAATGAAAAGAGAGTTACACTTACCTCCAATTATACAGATCATAGATAATATTGGAATAATTTTAGGAAGGCCTTGAGGATCTACCAGAAACCATTTCTTCAAATATTCCAACAATGTTAAAATATGTTTTCTGTGCATGTTGGTAATATTTAACAGATTGATATCATTGTCCATCCTGTTGCTTCTAACAATCGGTCTTGAATTTGTGTCTTGTAACTCTCTGCAAAACTCAAACAGGATTAAAGGGACCTAAGATTTTCCATTTTAGTGCCTTCTAATGATTTTCTTTAAAAAAAAAAAAAAAAGGCCCAGATGTCCCCTTTATTTCTAGCAGTAGCTTCTTATTGTTGCTAAGTGCTGTTGAGTCAGTTCCAAATCCTAATGACCCTCTATAGGGTTTCCAAGGAGCAGCTGGTGGGTTTGAATTGCCGACCTTGAGATTAGCAGTCCAGTATTTATCCTACAGCACCACAGGGAAATGGTTGGGCACTGAGCTAATAACCAAAAAGTTGGCAGTTTGAACCCACACAGAGATTCCTCAGCAAAAAGGCTTGGCAATCTGCTTCTGAAATGTCACAGCCATGAAAACTCTATGGAACACAGGTCTACTCTACAACACATGAGGCTGCCATGAGTTGGGTTAGATTTGACAGCAGAGGATTCCTTTCCCTTTCTATGATGCTTTCAATTACAATGTAAGAAAACAACACTCCCAGTGAAATAGACAGTTCAGTGTCACCCGATGTTAATTCACAATGCCAATCACTACTCAGCTATTATCCACTCTGCATCTATCCAACTGTCTGAAAGAATTCTTTATATAATCAGTCATCAGTCATTGGGACCATAGACCATGCAGGTCACTTAGCTCTTCAGATGGAGGATGAACAAATGATTGGCTTGCCCAAAGCTTAACTCTCTGGAAGCATGATCTGGCAGCTGTTCCAGGAAGGAAAAGTCTGAATTTTTTTTTTATTGTTTTATTCAGACAGAAATTAATTGGCCGTCATGATACTCAATCATAGTCTTCTTTTATCTCATTCAGGACACTCATGGGTCACCAGATTTTCCATTTACATATTTATAAAGCAAGCAAGAACACAATCCAAATATTAAAACTAAAATGACTTAAACAAGGGAGATGTTAAATGTTCTTTCTCATTGCTACTTCTTGGAGGAGGGCCTTAATGTGTCTGGTTTGAAGTCATAGATAACAGCCGGAGTCAGTCAGTTCATCTTACCTGCTTATCGTGTGTCTTAGTTCTCCAGTGCAGCAATAACAGAAATATCACAACTGGGTGTCTTTAACAAATGAAACTTTATTTTCTCACAGTTAGGAATCTAGAAGGACGAACTCAGAGAGTCAGCTCTAAAGGAAGCCTTTCTTTTTCTGTAGGCTCTCGGGGAAGGCCTTTGTTTCTTTGCAGTTTTGGTTCCTCTGTTCCTTGGCAATTATATTTACCCACCCCCATCTCTGCTTGCTTGCTCGTTTAATCTACTCTTTTGTATCTCAAAAGACATTGATTTAAGGCATACCTTATCTTATTATGGTTTCATGAACATAACAAGGAAGATATATTTTTAAATGAGATCACAGGTATAGAGGCGGTTAGAATTTACAACACATATTTTAGGGAGACACGATTTAATCTATAATGCCATGGAAAGGAAATTTTTCCATTGGGCCTTAAACTTCATGCAGGGGATTTTATCGATTCTGTTTCTCAGAGCAGTAGCTCAACACTTTCTAGTGTCCACTACAACATCTCATCTGTCTGCCTTGCTACACAAATAGTTATTAAATTTTCTATCATAATCCTTCAGTTTCTTTGCTCAGTTGCCAACATAAAGATATCTATAATCTTATATACTCCTTCCTGATCACTAAAACAAAAAATTGGAAGAGAAAAATGAAATACACGTGTGAACACATTTGAAATGAATATTAAACAAAGATTTCAAAAACAGGGGAAAAAAAGTTACCTACCCTCATCCTTACATAATTATACTTTATCTTGTTTTCTACTTGGCATTACTATCTATTACCAGCATAAAAGAGCCATTTGTAATAGATGCGTCATATTAGCTCCAAGGTAAAAGCACAGACTCTTTGATCAGACTGTCTGGACATAAAAGCCCAATGGCTGGTGCTTGTTGGCAACTGACACTGGGCAATTTACTTCAACTTTGTTGACCTCAGGTTCCTTATTTGTATAATCTTCTAGCCTGTGTAATCTTTTTCCTTGTATTGATTTTTTTTACTTGAAATCACCCATTGTTCCATTTTTTAAATTTTTATTACTCCTCAAGTGATAAAAACATTGATACTTGGACTCCATCCCCAGAAATTCTGATTAATTCAAACGGAGGTGAAACCTGGACTTCCTAGGTAATGTTAATATAAACCAAGGAGTCCTGATGTGGTGTTGCTGTTGGATAATTAATGGACATTAATCAAAAGATTGGCAGTTCAAACCCACCAGTAGCTCCCTGAAAATCATATACAGGGTTGTTATGAGTTAGAACCGACTCGACAGCACTTAACAACAACAACAACAATCAAGCTTAGGAGCCTCTGTAATCTACCCAATTCAAAGGCAACATGATTAAATTTGTAGTCTCAAAGGCAACTTCTTTGTATGATTCTCAGGTTATGTTTTGTGAGAAAAAGGTGTTAATATATCGTTCAGCCAGAGGCCACACTGGATTTATTATTTGTTGCATTGAGACCCCTTTCCCTGGGAACTAAGAGTGTCTCAATAAGAATATTAGAAAGACTTATTGTTGGACCTGGACTTTGGCTGGGTCATTTTGCAGAAGATCTAGGGAAGTGGGAGTTCACTCTACATTGGATACTCTCAGAAAACAAAACAAATATATAATTGTGCATTTCAATAAATCTTATCTATAGTGAGGGTTGCTCCTGTAGCATAGTGGTTACGAATTGGGCTGCAAACCACAAGGTCAGCAGTTTGAAACTACCAGCTGTTCTGCGGGAGAAAGATGAGGCTTTCTGCTCCCGTAAAAATGTACAGCCTCAGAAACCCTGTTCAGGGTGGCTATGGGTCGGAACCGACTCCACGGCACTTAACAACAACATAGTGAGAGTTGACTAGAGTGATGGTAATGCTGCAATGAGTAAAGAAACAACAGCCACTCATTTGGGTTGAAAGAAGAAATACTTGGCATTTTATAAGCCACATGGTGACCTTGTTTCCTCTTGATTATGATCTCAGAGTAATGTTATTGTCTGATGTTGATTTTTATAGAATTATGTATCCCCAAAATATGTACCGAAACCTTAATCCCTGTACCTATAAATATGAACCTGTTTGAAAATAAAGAGTTTCTTTGGTTATGTTAATCAGACCAAACCAGTGTAGGAGGATCCTAAACCTAATTATTTCTGAGTTACAAAAGATCAAAATATGCAGAAACACACAAAAGAAAGAAGTCAACAGATGATGAAGACAAATGCATGAAGACAAGTCCAGGAAAGCCAAGGATTTCTATAAGGATTATTTTTGTGTGCCATTCAGTCTATTCTGACTCATAACGAGCCTGTATGTTGTTGTTTTTTAAGTGCCATTGAGTAGAGTCTGACTCATAGTGACCCTGTACAGGGTTTCCAAGGAGCACTTGTGGGTTTGAATCACTAACCTTGTGGTTCACTATTCAGCGCTTATCCTACAATGCCACACCAAGGATAGAAAGGTAGAATCGCCCCATCTGTAAAGATTACAGCCAACAGATTACTATAGAGTAGTTTTGTTCTGTGGCATATAGTATCACCATGTGTTGGAATGAACTTATCCAGTGGCTGTTAGTACTAGAAGCTGAAATGGACAAGGAAGGGCCTCCTCTGAGAGTCATGTCCTGTATTCAGACTTCTAGCTTTCTGAAATGAGAAAATACAATTTTGTTTCTTAAAGCCACCACTTGTGGTATTATGGCATGACTAGGTAACTAAGACATGAATGTTGTGTGAAATTGCTTATGACAAATGGGAGAGCAACATGGCCTAGCTCTGAGGATTTCACCAGCTTGTGGCAGCGTAGAGTGAGACCTGACTGTGAGTGTCAGACCCGACCTCAGATGACAAAGGATATTTTTTATTCTCCTCTGCTGTTGTTGCTGTTAAGTGACATTGAGTCGGTTCCAACTCACAGCAATCCTGTATAGGGTTTCCAAGGAGTGCTTGGTGAGTTTTAATCACCAACCTTGAGGTAAGCAGTCCAATGTTTATTCTGCAGAGCTGAGAGATTATAAATCCCTTAAACTTCCTTTAATACATCAAGAACTTGGGATCTTGATACTAATAAAAGTTATAGAGCAGAGCAAGTTAAGTGATGCCTTTAAGATAGATAGTCTTAACCTTGACTTGGTGCAATAAAAAATTATTGATGTCTGGGTGCCTCCTACAGAGACTTTAATTGGTCTGATGCAGTGTGGGAATTGGAAATTTTAAAAAACTTCCAGTGACTCTTATAAGCAGCCATGGTTGAGAAGCTCTGCTCTGTATGAAGTCCCTTCCATCAAGAAAGAACATTTTAATTGACTGGTGATAATAATTTCTCTTAGTGAACATCAAAATTTCAGGGAAAATATTATCAATGCCACCACCTCTTTTTTAACTTGTCCCATTGTTACTCCATCACTAAGAATACTGGAACATACGGACTTGAAATAAAGAAAAATATTTTCTGCATCATGGTTACATGTGTCTACATGCTGTCAGACCTTAGCAGAATTGAAAAGTCTAGTAAGGAGCCTGGTGGCACAGTGGTTTATATGTTGTACTTAAACCCACCAGGAGATAAATGAGGTAGTGCACATACTAATATTAATCTAGCTTAATATTTAAAAGAAATCCTGGTGTGGCTCTATGGGTTAATGCACTAGACTGCAAAGTTGGTTTGAACCGCAAGGCCGGTGGTTCAAGTTCATTTGGCTGCTCTTTGGAAACCCTATACAGGGTCGCTATGGGTCGAACTGACTCGACAACACTTAACAACTACAACAACAATATTTAAAAGGTGTAGGTAAAGAAGTAGCAGTAAAAATAAACCATTTTCAACACAGTCAAAATTCTTCACCTTAAATTGACTTCTGAAAGCTTTGGATAGTTATGTCGCATT